CCCCAAGGACAGAGAATGCACACTCTCTCCGGGTGACCTGTCCCAGGGCTGCGCTGCTCTCCTGATGAAAAGGTGTTTCCTACTGTCAATGTGAACCTTCCAAGCCATAGCTTGTGGCTGTTGGCCTTTGTTTTACCATCTGCATCTCCTGAGGAGAGTTTGGCTCCATCATCTTTGTAAGTCCCTTTCAAGCAGCTGTAGGCAGCTGTTTGATTATCCCTTAGCCTCCTCTTTCCCAGCCTAAACAACCTCAGTGCTCCGTGTAGGTCCTAGGCTTTAGGCCCATGATCAACTTAATTGTTTTTCTCTCAACCTTTTCCAATTTCTCCACCTTCCTCTTGTCCCCCTTCCCAAAGAGGGACACAGTACTTCAGGTGTGGTCTCACCAGTGCAGAGTACAGCCAGGGAGATCATAATTCTCCATATGTGCAGATCACGCTCCTGGTAAGGTATCTCAGTATGTGATTTGCTTTATTTCCAGTAAGAATGCACGGTTCATTCAAATTCAGTTTGGAGCCTACCACAACTTCCATGCCCTTTCCAACACAGCTGCTACTTGGCCAGTTGCTGTACATGGGTTTAATCTGCCCCAGGTACAGAACTTTATATTTCTTGTTGAACTCCATGAGCTTTCTGTTAGCACAATCCTCAACTTCCCAAGTTTGCCCTTGAATTTAAGCTCTACAGTTCAGCGTGCCAGACACGTCTCTTAATTTAGTATCATCCAGACATTCTTAAGGGGTTGTATCCTGGCCCATCAAGCAGGTCACTGATGACAATATTGAACAATAGTGGTGCAGTGGCAGTCCCTGAGGTGTCCACTTGCTACCACTGCCAACTGTACCCCGAGACGTTGATCACTGCCCTTTGAGCTTGGCAGTTTGGGCAGTTCTCAACCTATGTAAGAGCCCACTCTGCCAGCCCACACTTCCTCCACTCACTAAGGAGAATTCTGTGGGGGGAGGATGTCAAATCAAATTCAAAATTCAAGCCATCAACCTTTTTCCTCTTCTCCATATAGCCAGTCATTTCATCAGGGAAAGCAAACAGGTTGGTCAAGCATGATTTGCCCTTGGTAAATGACCTTCTCAAATAAAATTTCATGGAATTCATCTCACCTAATCTTAAATAACTACAGATGAGCAAGTCACTTACTGGCCTCCTGTTAGAAACAGTGGGTAAAAATGGGCGCTTTTAGGGTCAGATTCAGCTAACCCATTGTAGATGGGTCAACTTTAGAGTAAGATAAATTTGCCATAGAAATGCCCATTTCCTTTCACTGATATAAGCAGAGCATAAGGCACTAGCTTGACATCAGCACTCAGACACCTGATTTTCACTTCTGTGCCTTGCCTTTAATTCTTATATAGTATGCACTCCATGGTTTTCTGATTCTCTACAGACTACTTATGGGACCCAAAGCCCAGCTAGAGATTCCTATAACAACGTTAAAGGAGAGAAAAATGTGCAGCCATGGTCTCATCACTTTCAATATTTGTTCTACCCTTGCTTTCATTCATAAAACTAGTTAGGCAGTTAAGCACAGGCTTAAATGTACTTGTATAAGCAGTTTCAAAATAAAGCTCCTGCAGGAGCCAGCATGCACTTTATCTGGCACAAGGAGCTTATAAGTTTGCAAGCTAAGTATCATATCTGATGTTATAGAAATAGAAAAAATACATATTTTAGAAAGGCAATTTCTGAATATTTTTAACCTTAAAAATCATATACAGCTATAAGAGCATTAAGAATATACAATCCCTTATTCCTATTTATTCCTCTTTATTTTCCCAAATGGATTCTGAAACAGTATTTGGCAGCACTTGATTTTCATACTTTCCTTTCATACATCTGTAGGTTTTTCTTATTTTATAAATTTTTTTCAGATGTATTTTGGCTTAGATTTCTGTCTCAACAACATCTAACTATCGAAGCATTTGGATTGGCTCACTGCAGAGCATTTGAAATCTGAAAATAAAAATCTGTGTGTTTGGCTGCAGTAAGAGTTTGCTGTCCCTTAAATACATGAGAAAACATCATAATCCTTATTTCACAATTTATACTTTAAGGAAGTAAGATGTTTAATTAAAAATCATACTAGACACATTGGTTCTTAATTCTCTAGGTCCCATGAGTGCATATTGGCAAGTGTATGTAGATAGCCTCTTGTTGCAATGAAAGTTCAAAGCATCTACACTAAATGGGAATTGTATGGTTCAATACTCATTAATTTCCTTCGCGGATGTTAATATTTTCTATTAAGTATTTTAAAAATGTACAGTGTACACATCCCAAAATGTTTTTACAGCTTAAGGCTCTGTGAGCAATTGATTTTGGAGAGGTTCAACAGTTAAGCCACAAATCCTTGTACGAAGGATTAGATGTATAGCAATAGATTCTAGTTCTCAGATAAGGGTCCTACCAAACAGGCAGTAAAATATGCCGGGTGTAACTTTTTTCCTTCCTGTTAGAGTAGTTCCGCTTTGAGTAGCATATTTAACTATTCAGTGATACAGTGATAATTTAAGGCAAACTCTGAAGAGGTGAGATTCAGGTTTCTCTCCTCACCCCGATGAAATGTTAAGATGCATACACAGAACAGAACAGGCCAGCAGCAGAGACTAAGAGTATGTCATGACAAAACATATTATGGTTTGGTAGGTAGGAAACTAATTTAGGACGTAGGATTTTCTCAGGAAGACAGATTTACTGAATATCATCTTCAGTTTCCTTGAACTCTCTAACCCAGTGACAGTAATTGGCATAGTCCAACAGCTGGATTGGCTTGTGGCATGGTTTTATGCCTTAACTTCATCCCATTTTCAAGTACTGCATTTCCTCTTCTTGACAGATTAGCAATACTGTATACTGTGAAGCTCTTTTCTAGATAATTGTGGGGGGAAAAAAAGAAGGAAGAAAGCTAACATTCAAATGGGGAGGTAGGAAGATGCAGTGCATTGACAAACTGGGGACACAGAGGTCAGGGAAAAAGACAAGAGGGTAACAGAGGCAGAGGACTTCTGGCTTGTGAACCTATGAACTAATCAAATCTGTTACACTGTATTGGTTTACCCAAGTTATAAATTGGGTATTTATCCAGCTTGGATCCATCAGGATTTCTTTGTATAAGCATGGCACCACTTGTGCTAGGATTAGCTATGCTGTTTCCAGTCCAGTAGTGAGCACAAAAGCCCCTATCGTGTCTCTGCATCATGTTCCTCAGCACTCTGAGATCCACATAGCCTCTTAGCTTGCCTGTGGGCCAGACGTGATCTAGCTCTCATGTTGCACTATGACAGGCCTAATATACCTTCACGTAATCGGCACTGGACACTTTGTGCAGACTGATGCCACAAATATCTCTGCTAAAAAATCACTAGCTTCAGGATTTACAGAACTTGGTGGATATCAGCTCTCAATGGTCGAGAGCCCAGAGCTTGCTTCCCAGACTGCCCCAAAATGCCATCTGCCAACTTTTCCGCATGTTCCAGCCTTCTCATTATTGAGTAGTGTAACATTACCACATTGTACTGGACATGCTTCCCCATCAGACAAGGGAAAAACAGCTCTCAAGTACAGAGAAGTTGATCATACCTGTTCTAACACTTGAACTATAGTACAAAAGGCAGGAGGAAAGAAACATCCTACTCTGGCAGATTTATGATTCTAATCCTTCCTTCCCCCACCCCAATTGCAAATGATCTCAGGGTGACAGAAAGCTGATGATTTTGATGATTAATGCTGCTTTCCAAAATGTTGCCTAGCTCCAACTGTGCTGAATTTGGTGGGAAATAGTATCTTTTTCACATACAGACCATGCATGGGCAGCTGCACACTGCAAAAATAAGACTGCAAAAGTTTGATTTTAAAACTGTTCTTTCAGATTTCCCGCTAATGATTTTCGATGTACAGAAAGGTTAGCAGGAGGTGTTGACCTAGATGCTTTTTCAAACTACTATATATGTTAAATATGTTATGAAATACATACAGGCACCAATTTTAAATTACAATATTGCCTTCTCCTGCAACTTATTTTGTATGTACCTCCCCTTATAAGACCTGCTAAATGTGTGGAACTCGAGTCTCATGACAAACACATACATTTTAGAAATGATTGATAACAACTGCCGGAGGGGGGAGATTAAAAAAAAAAAAACAAGCTTGTGCAAGGCAAATAAAGGATAATTTGACCACTATAATGATTTTATCATGAACCTCACCAGGCAGTATTAGATATGGCCTGAAATACATGAAGTTGTGTTTCTTGCATCTTTGAGTACCCCTGAGCACTCCTGGAATTTCTCCCCATCTTACAGTCTACTCCATCATTTCAATAACACGTAGTGGAAATGAGTTCCACAGTTCAATTATACAATTTGTGAAAATGTTAAAGTCTGTGCTTGGCTCATGTGTTTTACCTTTTAGTTTTCTAAATCCGAATTTCTGCACTTATACAATAAAAAGCATTGAAATGCTGGTTCAGCCTTTCAACAGTTTACCTATTTCTAACACTTTCCTTCTTAATTGTCTGCTTTCTAGAATGGATGTCCTCATTTTTCCCGAAGGGATCTTCGGAGGAATTTTTCAACAGGCTTTGTTGTCATCCTTTTCTGAATCTTCTCAGCCCTCATTACTTTTTTTCAGAGAGGATACTACTAACCTTGAAATCATTCCAGAGAAGAACATGCCACTAGAAACATTTCTGTTATGCTCCATTCTGTTCTTGAAAATTCCATCATCATTTGCGTTCTTTTGATCATAAATTTATAGAGCATTCAGTTGCATATAGCAATACCAAGTCCCTATTCTCAGCTGGCAGATAATAAAATCTCAGGTATTTGCAAGAAAAGCTTCATTTATTTGTCTCAGTATTTTATATTTATCAGTATTTGCCACTCCAACATCTACTCATCCTGTCTATTTGTAGTTCCTGATAGTGTTCCCTATACTTAATGAACCTGAAGAACAGTGTCAAAGAACTTAAATTTTGCTGTCAGTAATCATTTTCTCAAATCTTTAATGCGTTACATAAAGCCAATCCTAATACAAACCACCAATGCTCACCTTTTCAATTATACCGTTTCTCCTTACCTTTACTTTTTGCCTCTTGGCTATTTTTAGATCTACCATAACATTATTCTTCTTATCCTAATGGCTTTAACATATATATTTAGCTTAATCAGTTCATTTTTCACCATCTTATTGCAAATCTTAGATAATGGTAACGGAATTGCAGAGGAACTTTCTTCCACAGAAATGGGGCTTGCAGACTATTATAAATCAGGTTTGTTTTGTTTTGTTTTAATTCTAACTATGAAGCTTATTCCTAGGTAATTTCAACAGCTTTTAGAAAACACATGACAATATGCTTCCTTGAATTCCTTTCACAGAGAGGGCCCTTTTTAAAATGTATGCAGGTTCACGGTAGTATGGTGTTCATTTCATTCTTACAACCCCCCTGAATGCCTGAGTTCCTTCCAGCCAGGTCAGGTGACTTACTGCTTTAAACTCTGAGTTGTCTTCAGTAACACTTTTGATCAAAATCCATTAGTTTCATCTTCATCAGCAGCAAACAGCATGGCGGCGGTTAGCTTCTCAATATCCTTCGCCCTGAATACTACAATAACATTTTCATATTTCTTTTCTTCAATCCCAGATGAGCCAGCATGCACATTCCTCCATAGACTTCCCACTTCCAGTACACTACAATTGTGTTTACATAGCTTTAGATATTTACTTTTCAAAAAACATGTTTAGGATGATAACATGTTATTTGCGGACATTCATGCTCCTTGTTATTTTTAAAGTTCAGATATCAAAAATCTTAAGCAGGTTTGTCTTAACTAAACCCTTAAACCTTGCAGGTATGTATGACGTGCTTCATGACTTATTCGACTTGGCCGGAAGCATGCATATGAAGTTAACGTACAATCCAGGCCTGAAGTCCACGTATGCACTGATCTAAATATATACTAGGCCACTCTGCCAAATGCCTCTCCTGTAGAGTCCATCTGATGGACATTCATCAGATGTCCTGTACAACAAATGTTCATGTCCAAATAGCAATAGTGATTCATTAGTACCAAATGTACAAGGGAACAAGCACTGAAGACAACCTGCACGAGACAGACTCGGTCCCACATTAGCTTACTTGTACAGTAAGAAACAGAGAAATCAGGAGACAGCAAACATCACATTTTCTTGGGTAGGAGGATTCTGTTTCTAAAAGGTTCACAAGTTTGAAAGGGAGAGGTATGCATGGAACATTTTTTGGATTCCCAGCATCTTTTGGATAATCTAGTAACAAATGACTAAAATGACCTGAAAAGTCTACTTCAAATTTTCTAGCCTATCCAGAGTTATGGCTCCCATCTCCTTTAGAATCTGCTTCCTGCTTTGATCTGTCAAAAGACAGGCAGCAAACAGACCAGATTAAGTTCCGTTTTCTTTCCCAGGTTTCAGAGGAAATAGACATTCTTCCAATAAGCTAGCTGAAGCCAATCTATATCCTAGCGTCTCAGAGCTGACACCGTGGACAATGTAAGCCAAATTAAGTGACAATCGTAAAAGAACTGTACCTACTTTTGGCAGAAGTAGAACACTAAGGTGAATATAATTTCTAGCTAAAATGGATTGCAAGAGCAGCCTTCAGTTCATGTAAGGTACGTTGTACTGACGTGCTATGAAGCGCTACAAAGTACTAGCGCTTGCAACGTACTCAAACCTCAGCACTTCATTTTACCATCTGCTGAAGTCTGAAACGTCCTCCACGAATTACCAAGTGTAAAATAATTAAGCATCAAATCATTGTGGAATCTGCATTTGCAATAGATATCGGTTTACTACAGCTGTACCAATGAGTTTAAGCCTGACTACAAACTTGGGAAAAATAGCATACATACATCTACTTAGCATTCAAATATCACAAATATCTTGGCAAATACCTCTACCCCATGCCTGAATGTTATAAAAATTAGACTCTTATTCTCAAACGTATACAAAGGCCAGAGTTAAAGTGGATTTTCGCCTTTAATGAGCTCATGATTCTTCATTATTTAATACTCTGTAAAAAGGTATTACAGATTTATAGGTTATTGCAGTGACTTCTAAGGAACGTGGTCAGCCACGAGGCTGAAACTACAATATCATATACATTATGCAGTCATTGATATTATATACTACAGCATGAAAATACTTTTAAAATAAACATTTAATTGAAGAAACATAGAAATGGAGCTTTCCTTCTTATAATATGGTTACTTATCTATATTCCAAGAATGACATTTGAAAAATGCTAGATCTTGAATGGTCATAGATAAAAAGAGTCATGATGAAGATGAAACAGTTTTGCCCAGAAATGCTATAATGAGCACACGGCACAGTTTCTTCAGCAAATCCTAGTTTCGCCAAGCTTCAAAAGGCAAAAGCGTAAAATGTAAAAGCTTCCAAACTGTCTAGCTAGTCCATTTGTCTTGTACTGCAGGGCCCAGTGAGCCACACTGCTTTAAGGCAGTGTGTCACTCCAACTGTTCTTTGCTGACATCAAAGCCATCAGGAGGAGACAATTCAGGTCCTTAAGATGCAAGGCCTAACAAAAAGCCTCCAACAAATCCACTGGACACGACGATGTTCTGTTTGATAAATTCTGTGGACTGAGAAGAAAAATAATTTGTAAAAAAAATGAGTCCACTGCATCTGACTGTAACACTCAATACTTTTGTCACAACTCCCTGGAAATAAGAATACCAAAACCATGGAGGGAAAAAGCAATGTGTTTAAAAACATGTAAAGTTAGAAGTCTGAGGCAACTGCTAGAGCTAGTGGACAGCAAACTGACTCTCAGCCATCTTTAACAATAGAGTTAACATAGAAATTGTCATAGCAACTCCGTGCCAATACAATTCTTTTTGATTAAAGAAGTGCTACATACTCCCTTGGCAAAATAGCTCAAACTGAAAATGAAATCACTATCAGCATTTCAATTTTAACCATAGGAAAAAAACTGCAAAAAGTACTAGTTTTTGGAAGAGGAAGGCACTGAAAAAAAATACACTTCAGTTCTCTATAAGCCAGCTTCCAAACAACTAGTCCAACAAAAAATGCTTCTATATGACAACTTTGGTATACAGTATTTCATAAAGTAATAACACAGGATATAACATCTGTTATATCAAGCATGTGCATCCCTACCATAACGTGACAGACATTTTGTAGCACTACAAAATTAGAGGGAAAAAAAAAAAAAGATAACTTGGAAAAAAAAAAATTCCATCCTCTCCCACCCATTTCTTCAGGGAAACAGAAAAGAACAAGCTAAACTATCTGGGGTACCAAAAAAGTTAGAAAACCACCTCTCCCAAGTCTGTACTTCAGCAATCTAACTAACTCCAAACAGGTTAGAGACTTAATTTCAGAACATTAATTTAGTCTGCAGCACATTTCAACTGAGGCTTCACAGTAACAGAGAAAGAAACTTTTCATGTCATACAGGCAAGCTAAGTATATAAAAACAGGCCAAATATTTGGCTCTCCTTACATTTTATTTAAGGACAAAAAGAATGCCCTCAAATGATAGAATGAAAGAGCCTCAGTGACACTTGGATCAGTACCACAGACATGCCCTTTTCAACCTAGTAGGTAACTGATAGCTTCTGAACACAGACATTCTAACTGTATACAAAAGCAGTAAAAAAAATTGTAAATATACAATTTAGTTACAAAGGGATTATAGCTTCTTTCAAAAAGAGATGTCAGTCTTCTCTAGTCAAGTAGTTTCGCGATCAGCAGACTGAGATGATCTGGTTTTTTAATCTTTGTAGCAACCATGTTTTAATCACAATACTCTTAACCTTTTACCACGCCATGAGCTTACTAGCTTTCTCACTAGTTAAGAGTCTATAACAACTAACTGGCAAAGCCAACTGCACTCTCTAAGCTGTATACTGCATAGACCAGTTGTAAAAGTGCAGTAAGTTTGAAATTTGCATGTGATCTGGTAGAAGTGAACAAAATACAAAGTTAAATGAACAAAAGGGAGTACAAAATCATTATTATGGAAATTTCCATGCAGCCTGAAAGCCACATAGTATCACAGTAAATGCACCCAACCTCATATCCTTTTTCTGAAAGGAAGAGCAGGAAGGGCAGGAACATCATCAACCAGAGGCAGAATAAGAAAAAAATATCTCAGAAGTTAATTTGGGAACTATACCACAACAAATAGGCAGTGGATTGTTCTTCAGAAAAATGTAGCTTTTAATAAAATATATGGTAAGCAGACTCTTTCTGACGCTCTCCCATCATAATCAGAATTAGGGTTCCTAAGTTTTGCACTGCATGTTGCAGCTAATCATCACCTGCGGTGGACGGTGAGAAACCTTAGTTGGTAGAAAACAGTTTATCAGCTTAGACTTACCTCTTCAATTAGAGTATTGATTTCAGGGGCTGCCTTGTTTGCACGCTTTTTCAGCTGTTTTTTTGCTTTGTTTACATCTTTTTCGACTCGCTTCCAATCAACTTGTACATATCCACTGTGACTAGCAATCTAGAAAAATAAAAAGTGCTTAACACAATTGTAGCTAACATTTTAAGAGTCAAAATACAGTCTCTTAGTGCCTACCAAATTTCTTAAAATGTAAAAAACAGTGCTCCAATTACAAGTACAATGGGCACCACGCTTCAAGCACTAAAGTCTTTCACAGTAACAGCAATTATAATTGGAACAAGAAATGGCTAAGTTTGTAGACTTACTAATTCCATCACTTCTCTACTTCGTATTTTAAAGACGCTTTAAATAAAAATAATTATTCCTTAAATATTTACTGTTACTTACATATAGTGGAAAGAGAAAAGCACATTAATAGGACAATTATGAAAAAAATTGTTTCATTTTATCTTCTTTCAGAATCATGGAATTCTAAGTTGTGACAAGACATTCCAGGCTCATCAGAGCCTTCCACAGAAATACCAAAAACCATTATTTGGTCTTTTATCATTTAAACGGTCTAACAAAGTGAAGTATTTGATACCTCAGAATTCTCATATTTTCTACAAAACAAAGCTGGTAGGTAGAAAAATAACACGACCTACTTAGAGCACAACTCCTGTAACATTAGCAAAATGGGAATGTTTTGGAGATTGTTCATGCCCATTTCAACTCAAACGTGCAAGTACTTCAACAAAATCCCTGAGATTTTTAGCATGTTTAATCCATCATCCCAACACTTTGTCTTATTTGTTTCCAGAATCAAATCTTAGTAAAACAAGTAAGATATTCTGTCACTCGACCCATGTGGCGAGTCTCACTAATTTCCTTCAGACAACTCACAAAAGAAACACACGCTTAAGTGTTTGTAAGATCCTGGCTTACCAAAGAAAAAAAAGACAATATCGAGGCAATTCACTGTAACTTCAGAGAATGGGTGAAAACAAACAACTCATTAGATGGAAAAGACTGCAGAAATTTAACAGAGGAACATAAGGACTATAAGGATAACTGGTAATTTTAATTGCTAACACGAATACATACAGGTCATTAACTTTAGAGGTAAGTAATTTTTATACAAAAAACAGTTTATAAAGAGTGAGCTTTCTCAGATTATTCTTGAGGTTTGTCAAATTCATGTAACTTATGTAAGAACATTCTATGTATATGGTACAGCTTGTAAATAAAATTCACAGCTAATCAAGTTTTGTGGAACAGATCTTTAAGTACACGGGTTTATAGGTTTGGCATAAAAGGAAATGTTTCACATCACTTACAGGCACTGAATGTGAATTTTCACATAGTTCTTTTATTAAAAAAATAAAATTAGACTAGCTAACTTGTTTGGTATCAGTCACAATAATTAAGCAACCTATTTCATCTTAAATTAGAACTCCATGATGCTGAAAGAAACTAAAATGAAACAAGTTCAGATAAATTTTGTCTGAATTTGAAACAGAGCTCCTGAAAGACCAGATGTATGAGAAGGTATATGTCAGTTTCTATCTTCGCACAAGATTTAAAAGCAAAATTTGATGGAAAAAAAAACCAATGCATTGGATAAATGCCAAATAAACTTACTAAATATTATAAGCTCCTTTACTTCCTAACTCAGGATGCAACAAATTCATTGACCTTTCCTGTCTAATGCAAACCCATTAGTCTATGCAGGCCCTGATGGTAGGTGGAGATAGCTAATTAAGGAGTTTCTGTGCAGCATGAAAACATGAAGCAAGTTTTAAGGCTGTACTGGTTACATACCCAGTCACTGAATGACATACGAGGAGAAAAATGTTACAGGTTGGAGTAATATTTATTTTATGAATTGTTTAACAAGACTAACACACAGGTTTCAAAAAGGCCTGAGTGTTGAACTGGTGTCTTCTACCTCACAAGACTGAAGTCTATATATGGACATTTATGCCAAGTTCAACACAATGTAAAAAATGCTAATATATTTGCCTGCCTGGAAATTGTAATAATAAAAATATAACCAAATGAACTTGCAAAGAAACATTTCACTATGACTAGTCTAACAACAGTTACAACTTATAGTTGTACCAAAACTGCAGCTTACGAAACAAAAGTTAGGCTACACTTCTCCATGAACTTAGTAGCCAAAATCTTAAGTTCTGCTTTTGAGTTTTTTGTATGAAATAAGCAATAAAGGATAATGTTTTAAATATGAAATATATAAAGGAGAAAAGAAAACTGTACTTCACTGAAGTGATAGTCAGAACCAACGACACATCAACCATGGCTGCAGTCCTACTAAATACACAACTTTGTATATAAGCCAGAAACAGTCCCAAAGTCAAATGTCAGTGAGACAAAACCTGCAATTTTTACACTCCAATAAAACATAAGAAACCCACAACCTTACAGGTAAGGTTGCTTACAACAGTAATTTTACATAAACAACAATTCTTAAAAGTCATTAATATTTTTAAACCTCGCTCCTACAATCACAGGGATAAACTGAGATAATACTATTCCATTATCCTTTCCATATTTATATATTCCTGTCATACAGGTCACATTATGTATCATATATCCCATCAACAAACTATCTTGGCTCAAGGGCTCTACAAACTTTTGAAAGAAAAAATTGTTTTTTAAATTGTAATAAAAAAAATACATCCATGCAGGATTACTAAGAATATTTGTATCTTTCTCCACAGTAATCAAAGAAAACAGAATCTAAAGGGAAGACCTCAGTCTGGAATTGATACTAGAAAGGCATGCAAGTACACTGTTATTATGAAACATCATTAAGAGAATACAAAAGTGTATACAATAAGAAAGGACATGAGAGTTTTAGTTTCCTCAAAAGTAAAATTTATCCCACTCTAGAACAGCGCAAACAAGCACCGAAGCTACTTGAGAGCTCACCGTCGCTCAAACATCACACAGAAGCGAGGTATATTTCTAAGTATTTTCTGGAATTTAAATAAACAGCAACCTCCACCTCACTAGAGCAGCTGCCAAAACTTAATCTCACAAACCTCTAACTTCAATGTACAAAGAAGGGACTAAGAAATGATAATAATTGCCGATTTATTTATTTTTAAGAGTTAAACTCCAGAGACTCTACCCTCAGTCACCATCTTTTGGCACAGCTTCGCTGTAACCTGTGAAACTACCCCAGTTTACAAAAGCAGAGAACCAAGGCCCCTCCGTATCAAGTAAAAGCCTGCCAGAAGTAGGGCACTTCTTTAAAAGGCAAGCTTCCAACTATCATTTGTTTTGGCTACTACACTGAATGTTCCCTCAAAGTCTGCACACATCTGTCAAGCCGGATAGTCAACACAAAAGGAACACAACCCTCTTTTTTCTTATTAACCACCCCCACCAACAAAGCTTTATTGCTCTCTCCCCTCTTCACTGAGATGCCACACCATCATCATGACGTGGTATCACAGTTTTCAACAAACCCCTTCACAACATACAGCCAAGGATATCTTAGTGTTTATTTTGCTTCTTGGATTGTTTTCAAAGATTTTCTTTAAGTTGGGAAATAATTTAATGAGGAATTGAACTGAATCTATTTATCGTACATTAAATGGAATGAGGCAAAATATACTAGTGAAAGCACCAACAGCTAAACAAAAATATAATTTTATGATTAAATAGTAGCTAATACAAAATGGAAAAAGCTGCACTTTGTCTGTTGACTGAGGAACAAAAAGCAAGGAAAGCACCATCAAAGAGACAGGAGTTTAAAAAACACAGAGAGAACAGGCACTGATTAAGAACAATTGTTTTAAAATAATTCACTATAGTAGAACCACATTGAGTTCATACCTTCCTACTCTTTAGGATCTCACTAGACTGCGTGCTATAAACTGAAAGCTATACAAGGATTTAGGTTAATATCTGCTTTGGGAAATGAATTATATTTTCTTTAATATAGTGGATGGGTATTGGCCTTCACCAGCATATTAGAAAAATCACATTTCTTTCAATAAAAAAGGATACTTAGTCAATCAAATTAAGCTATTGAAAACATTCAGCACATAAGATAAAATAAAAATCTTGATTTAGAAAAACAGTGCAAATTCCTTAATGTAATTTTTATTCTCTTTGTACTGAGACTATTTTTACGTAGTCCATATTAAGACTGAAAATTGTCTAGATCATTTATGAGAACCTGAAAAATCTTTTTGTTCCTTGTACAAATTGACATTCCAAAATACATTGCTTCTGATTTCCTGCTAGACTTCTTGAAACAAAGTCATTGCATGCTGAAGAAAAATGTACTTTTTAAGTGTCAGGTCTGAAACTTCTTACAGAATGGGCTTTACCCAAGAATCTTGCCTTCTGTAGTCCTATTTCCTATTTTAGCAAGTAACTACAATATCAGTATTGCAAAAAGGAATAAAAATGAAACCTGCAACTTCAGAGAAATTTACAGATAATAAGGAAGTTTCTAGTTGTGCTGAAATGGTCCTCTGCCCGCTCCGTGGAAGCATCAAATATGTATTCATAAGGACATTAAAATCACAACGTGTGATCTTTAAATGAAAAAATTAAAGACTACAGAAATGTAATTACACTGCACAATTTATGACTCAGCTTTAAAATGCAAAACATTTTGAATTAAAATGAAAGACCAAGGCATTTACTTCATTCCCTTCCAACAGAATCTGATCTTACTCAATTAAAGATACAGCCAACTGAATCAAAACATGCAATTCATTTTTCCTTAGATAATACTCCTTTCCTTACTGTAAAGGAGACCAACTAAGAAAACAGATACTCATAAACACACGGCAAATTGTTTTATGTCAGGGAAAACTCCCCAAACTTCACAGCTCTACAAACAAAGATATTGCATAAATAATGTGTTTTAAGCAATTTCTATTCTCCACTGTCTATAGCTCTTAGTTTTAACTTTTCAGCTTCCTGTAGCCAACGGCGCTGGTGTAAGGTCTTGGAGGCAATATTCTGCCTACTACCAATGGATTGCAGGTCACTGTTCTGCATGCCCTTCAGGGATTTACTAGGTCATACTTAGATGAGAATTTCATTAGAAGAATTTTTAAGGCCATTAGCATGCTACACAGGAAGACAGATTCTGATCTTCAAGTCTCCTAGATGAAAAGCATTTAAATACTAAAGCATGCTGAGTGCTTTCAAGACCCACTGGCTGGATATATAAAGATATAAATCTTCATGATCCAGAAATATATATGTGCTTAAGAATTTCAGGGTACTCAGTCAAATTGGTTCATCTGCTGGCATAGCACGTTTTGCCAAAATTTACATTTGGATGATTCTAAACCATTTCAGATTCAATACCCTTGTAATATTATCCCTATGTTTAGGTGCAAGTCCAATAATTGGTGATTTCCAAGAGATTTTAAAAGGTCATCAATGCATAAAAGGGTAGCAGTAAGAAAACTACTACTCCGAAGCTTCATATCAGAATGATTCCTCTTTGACTCTTTACATTGGTGCTGTTGCTTGTCTTTGAATAATTCAGAGTAAAATAGGCTTAATACCTGCTGAAAACAATTCAAACCAAGTAGTTCCAAGAACATACATTCTCACAAATAACTGCTGCAGTTCAGTTATATGCTTAACAAAGGTTCTGAAGGTCTTAAGAAACTTCTGCAGAAAAGATTATCATGAAGGAAGTAAGAGTACAGACAACTGTAATATTTTGATTCATTATACAGCAGCACTCAGAGGTACTATACAATCCATCCTGATCGATGGTCACCTGCAATAGCCACTGGCATGAAGGGAATAAGTAAAAGCGGGATAGGTTTCTCAGAAACATCCAGGGCCATGTTGACAACGATAAATATATATTTATGTACACATATCTTTAATGTCCTGTCTCAAAAAAGAAAGGTATATTTTTGAATGAACCTAGGTAGGCACCACTACTTCCTCTAAAATGATCTGAGAAAAAAAATGATCACAGATACTAAGATACGGAAAATGCCAGTAAAGGAATTACAAATTACTTGGTGACCTACAGAAAGATGTGTAAAATTCCCTGCACTCAGAGCCCCTTAACTTAAACTAGTTTGAGAGCTTTTTGGAAATGTGCCCTCCCCTAACGACAATATCTGATGAAAAACGTAAATGGCCACACGAGATGACACCACTACAGAATTTTAGACTTGAAATCCAGTTGAACAGCGGAGTGCAATGCATTTATCAGAAATCAGCAAAGGTTCAGAGGCTCAATGCATATAACTAGTAAAGGCAGCACAGGGAAAAAGAGCATGGTTTCATAATGGGACCGAAGCATGTCTTCCAAGCAACTGCCAAAGTAGTCTACCTCTCTAAGGGCACTGATAAAATTCTCAAACTATTTCAGACAAAAAAAGATTAAATTCCTTGATCTTTCTAATCATAGATTTATAGGCAGTTCCTCTATTCTGGCAATATCAAATCACATACAGTATCTCAGTTTCTGCACAAGACGAGTAGATTCTGATTTACCACTGATTTTTTTAAAGTGTCTCTTTTGCACACACTATTCCAGCTGAAATGGTAAGTTTTTGACTGATAAGACTAAGAAGATCAAATAGATAGGAAGCCTTCCTACTTTAGCTTTACCCAGTAGCTGAGTTTTCCCTATTGTTTAAATAAATAACATTTTCCAACTTATAAAGCGTGAAATTCTACATACTTGAAGCAGAAGAAAGCCACCACCTACTGCAGTTGCTGCAAGCTTTCCGACTTTCTGGAACAAAAATCCCGCACACCTTAGGAGAACAAAACAAACAAAAAACCCAGTCCAGTGAAGTTGTCTGCTGAACAATGCCACACACCAGAATTCCCAATGATAACTATTACTACTAAGTTTTTGGTTTAATAAAGCAAGTGTTTCATTCCACATTTAAAATTTTTTTTAATCATTAATACAAACAACGTTTAATAAATAACCTCTAATGGAAGGTGACATGAATAACAGCTGCTGGTTCATGGCTGTCTGATGGCCCCTTTAAAGTAAGCGGGGGCTTCAGTATCTGTCTATACACAAAAGCTGTATGCCATTATGAAATATATAAGCACCTTAATAAAGTACAGTATAATAACATAAAGTGCCAGCGTAATTGTAACTATTCTCTAGTGGAATGGGAATGTCTTACACCACCATTTATAGCAACTTATATCACCACTTACAGTAACTACACAGCCCATATATAACTATTTCAGGTAAAAAGAAGTTAAATTCCTACAGAAAAAAACGGAGGAAAAAATTCTCTGTGTGTGGACATAGGCCTGGTCTATTTTTAACAGAAGAAGGCAATTATCAATTTAATTTCTTATTAGTAGTCTCCCAACACTCCCACATCAAACAGAAGACAGCAAAGATATCGATATCACAGAATAATCTGGGCAGGAAGGGACCTCAGGAGGTCACCTGGTCCAGTCCCCTGCCCAAAACAGGGCTAACTTCAAAGTTAGACCCAACCTCTAAGCTAAATTAGGTTGCTCAGGGTCCTACTCAGACAAGTAGTGAGTATCACCAAGTGTGACAGTTCTGTAATTTCTCTAGGCACCTGTTCTGGTGTCTGACTCCTCCCCCCCAACACACACTGTGAATTTTTTTCTTCTTGTATATGAACAATGATACAAATACACACACACACACACACATATATAGAAATATACAGTTTCCAGATGTTTCAATAAGTCACTTTTTATGGATGGCAGATTCCCATTAATTACTCCCTAGAAGTTTATGAGTTTATGTATATGCATCTAACCTTTTAAAAATAATTCTAAGGCTATAAAAACAAGTAAAAAAGTCAGATTGTAAGCTAAACATGCAGTCCCCAAAGCAGTACTGAGCCTGTACATGATAGTTTCCCTTTTAGTCTGTTTCACTTTCTAATACTTGCATAATGCCATTTTAAATGGTGTACTACCACTATGCTTTGTGTTTTACACTGAACTCAAAATATTCACAATAGTGGAATAGACAAATACCAATTACCTTTGACTTGATACAGTTGACAAGACTGTGGCCATACTTCGCAATCCGAGTTCTCATGTTTACTGTCTACCTATCACCATAAATTAATTTAGGGTAACTGCATTGTGGTATCTCTCTTCAGCTAACAGGACGGCCAAGTGTTAAGCTGTTCCAGATTGCTCCAGTTTCATAAGAGAAACAAGGTGTCTCTATAAAATGGGGCTCTGAATTAAAAGGGTATTCTGCCAAATATTTTTGCTTCATTTCTTTAAAAATTATAGAATTTCTATAAAACACATCCTAGCCATTGTACCATAAGTAGGTCTTTAAATCTATACTAGTAAAGAAATACACTTTTTCCATACAAACAAAAATTATATGCATTAATTTTCTCTTTATTCCCTGAATGTTTATTGTTCTGACATTTCTCACAATGAATGGTAGGAATTCCCTTTGATAACAGGTGTGTTTTACCAATACTATAAAAGACTTCAGAATGAGTCAGAGCAACGAGTTAAGAAACTGTTCTCGCACAAATCGCCTTGATTAATGATAAAAGAAATACTATTAGAGAAGAAGAAAAAATACATTTATCTGTTTCAAATAGCCTTGGAAAGAGACATTTTAAGAATAGTAAAACATCTGGCACAGCTATGAAAATTGATGTTCTCTCACCAGCCAGTGACTCCGCCCATTACAATCTGTGTAGCTACAGAATATTTTTCTACAATTGGTCCCGAATTCCGGCCAAAAACACGATTCCACCAATGGTGACGCCTGGCATATTCTGTTAAATCCAACACTTCGTAAGAATCATCATCGCTTTCGTGCTCTTAAAAAGAAAAAAGAAAAAAAAAACTCAGTTATGCAGTAAACCAACAGCCTATGTTAAAAACAAGCAAATCAACAGAACCATATTTGGTATCGGCTGTCTAATACAACGGCTTATATCGCAGCATATGAGCTACCTGTGGTCCAGCAGTTAACCAAACAAAGCATTTTAAGATTTTATGCCATAAGGCATTATAACCTTAACGCTGAGAGAGAGAAGACTGCAGGGAAGGCATAAGCTACAAAAACCCTGAGTGGCATGGAAAACGTGAATAGGAATGTCCTATGTCTTCAAGTACAGTTTTTAAGAGTTATCAAATGAAACTAGTAGGTAGCCAGTTCAAAACAAAACAAAGTGTCTTTTCCCCCCCACCCTAGAGAAATTCTGGTTAACCTGTGGAACTGCTTGCTGCAGGATGCTGTAGATACCAATAGCTGATGTGGACTCCAAATGAAAAAAAGGACAAATTAAAGGAAAAAAATATCCACCGAAAGGTATGACACACAAACACAACTGTGGCTAATGAGTTCCTGAGCTGAAAAATCATTAGCAACCTTCTAGGGAAGTATCACTACATGCTTACCCTGTAATCTTTCTTAGTTCATCCTGCAGCTGATGGCTGTCAGAGACAGAATGTAGGGCTTTGATCTGAGACAGTACAGTTGCTCTTGTGGTCTTAAACAACGTGAAACAAATCTAACTTAAGAGAAAGCACATACATCTCTTCCGCACAGACCAAAGTTTTGAAATACTATAAAGTCTGGAGATATAAACATTTGCTTAAGAATTTTTCAACTTTTCCTACGAGTATGGGTAAAAGGCTAGAGACTGCAAAATATACACACCTAGGTAGGAATATTTTTATTTTATTACCACCTAAATGTTCTTTGGTACTAAAATGTAAGTTCCTCAAATAGCAATGAATTCATAACATTCATATGAAGGCGGTTTTGTTCCTTCTTTTCAACTTTGAGGTATCAGGTACAAATAGCTCACCTTCTGTAAATGGAGAAGAACATAAAATTGTGATTATTTTGTAGACTTTTAGTCATGTTAATTCTGCCCCTAAACTATTATTATTCAACCCAAAACTCACACAAGTATAATACGTCATGTGGCCAACAGTAACACTGGAGTATTTTCTACCGATATGTAACAGTCACTTCTTTGCATCATACTATTATGCTTACGCATCATACCAATAAAATCGCACCTCCACCAAAAAAAAGGGTTACACTGGACATACTATGCCGACATATTATTATACATAAATATTTAGGCCTTTTATAGGTCAAAGACGTGGAGACGAGGGAGGCTAAGGAAACCCTTCCCAGTTTCCCGCAGAGGAAACCCGAGAGGTCAGTTCCACAGCCTTCCGGCCCTCAGGCAGAGCCCCCTTGACTCCAGGGCCAGGTACCCGTGAATTCCTGCCTCCTTCCTGCGCGGCGGTTTCTCTCAGCACTGAGTCTGTCAGGCGCGTGGACCCGAGGCTACACCCAAGCCCCTCGCCCCCCAGCCCCCTGACATC